TATATATATATATATATATATATATATATACGTTGGCTTTTGTTGACCGGACCGGGCCGGTCCTATAACCGGTTCCGGTCTTAACCGGTCTCGGTCCTAAAAAACGTTAAAATCCATAACCGGTTCATAACCGGCGGTCTAGGTCAACTCTTATTTAATACTCACCAACTACTCATTTATCTCTCAACAGATAATTGTTTCATTAACATTTGGGGGACACAACTCATAATCTATCGGTTTCTCATTTAGAGATTACTGATATTGAAGAAAGAATGATGTATGTCCCCCCCCCCCCCCTTAAATTTCTTTGATTACATCAAGTTTGATAAATTTGTGTAATCCATACAACTTTATCAATTTGAGTTTATTTTGAAGCATTTGTTGCTTTATTTTTCTACACTGCACAAATTTCACAGAACATCTATCATTCTGCCATAACATTCAAAGATATATTCTTTAAGCTATCAATGATTGAATGGAAGTTCTAATGAGATGAACATAAAAAAAATCTCATATTCAAAGTGCATAAGTTGCACAGAATATATTTGTTGTATTCACAAGCCAATATTTGAATAAAAGATTGAAAACAGTTTCATAAGTTGAATCTGGATTTCCCAATTATGTTCTGAAATGAATTCATTCATTAAAGAATATATAAGTGAATTTGAAAAGGTTTGCTTATACTTCTATGAGTTGACAACATAAATTTCACCTTGTTACATTCATTTATTAGTATGATGTTTTTGTTCCCCATTAACATCATAAGGGGGAGATTAAAAATGAATGGGAGATTAACAGATGACTAAGATGATATGGTTAAAAGATGATGAGATATAAGGGTGAGATTAAAAGATGAATGGAGATATAAGTGAAAAGTGCTTAAGGGAGATAATTCAAGAAGATACAAAGGGGAGATAAGATTGTCAGACATAAAGGGGGAGTTTCAAAGAATATTTCATCAAAAGTTGTGTTGTTATCAATCATTTGGGGAGATTATTCAAAGTTGTTGAGCTAAAGTGATTCTACAAGGGGAGATTATACAAAAGTAGCAAAGAAAGTTCAAAGGAAATGCTATCAAGTTCAGGGGGAGATTACATGTATAGGGGGCGATTGTTCAAAATTTGTGAAAGTACAAGATAATTCAGATGATTGCTAAAAGAATCGAGTGTTGAAGTAAGTCAAGCTGTTTGAAGATTTCAAGTGCTTAAATGTCAAAGTCAAAGCTTCTGAAAGATATCTAAATGAACTTGTTTTCAAGATTATTTTTAAAGATTTTTGCTAAAGCTGGAGATCTGAAGTTTTAAAGAATATTGTTTTTGGACTTGAATCCAAAGGAAGAGATTGTTGGAATATAAAGTTGTACTCAAGTCTTTGTGCTTAATTGTTTTACTTTTTTTTTTTTTGTTTACATGCTTTGTAGTAAGGGTGTAAACAGCTTGCTGTTAGTTAGTTCTGTTAAGATCATTCAATCATTTGTAGACATTTCAAGAACACTTTGTCCTTTGACGTTTATCCATATACAGCTGACAGATTCAATAATCAATCTTGTGTTCTTGATCTTTGTATGACCAGATCTAGACAACGAAATGATATACACTAACTAGAGATATACACCTACTCTAATTATCGGTAATTATCAAGCATCTCAGGTTACCCAACTTATCTATTATTAAAACTAATTTAGACTTCTTTTTTTGCTTTAAGACCTTTCTAATCAGTTATATATAGTTTTTTTGTTAAGAAAATGTAAGTAACAAAGTTTTAAAAGTTCGATAATTTATTTATTATAAAAAAAATGTTCAAGAACGTAATTATTCATGATGAGAAAATTTAATGGTTTTTTCTATAAAAAAAATAGTTCAAAGACTTGATCATTTAAAAAGAGAAAATTTAATGGTTTTTTTTCATTTAAAAAAATAGTTTAAGAACTTAATCATTTAAAATGAGATAATTAATTGTATTAATTTTCGAGAAAAAAAAAAGGAAAAAGAAGATGAGATTATATGTAGTTGCGTGAGTGATCAGCATGACGACAGATTCAGAAAATGGATTTGTTTCATTGACAAAGTGATGGAAAAACAAGAATGAACAACCAAACATAATTAATAATATCATCAAAATTAATACTACAACAACAGATAAAAAGGTTCAGGCTTTCGCGCAGCAATTGAAGTACCACAAAATGCTTCTCCTAACCTACACCCAAAATCATCAATTTAAAGCTTCAATATCATGCTAAAAGTCATTAATTATATATATATATATATATATATATATATATATATACACACACATATACACATATATAAACGAATGAAGAAGGAGAATTAATGTGAGAAGCTTAAAAAGTGATGTGGATCATTGATCATATTTAATCTCAAACTCATCCATGAATCATGTTTGATACGGAGATTGATTTGGTGCATCTTATCCTATTGTGCATCCAAGGGTGGAGATTCTTCTTACGCTTCTCACAACTCTCCTCCTCATCGGACCCCAACCCT